AAGTCTTTCTCCTTTGCTTAACAGTACTGTATGTTACTTCCTCTTTACCCTGAAGGAGCAGAGAACAGAACATGAACGGTGAATATGAACCAAAAGCTTTAATTGGTTTATTTATTTAACCTATTTCTGTGTTTCTGACATATTGTCTTGTTCAGAAAAACACTCTTAGTAATTATCAAGATATATGTGATAAGTATCAATGCTTTTTCCCAGAGATATATTGAACTCCTGCAGCTGCAAATTCAAAATAAAGTAAAGTTTCATATTATTTGGAATTACTGCAGTGTTTATTAGAAAAATGGCTATGATAACACATCTCCTTTCTTGTACAACAATGTATTGGGAAATGAATGATCATATCTCACCATTATTGTGGCCGGTGAATCTCCTGTGGTCTGCTCTAAAAGTGAATCAATTATAAACAATTTTTACTGACAATAACACACAAATAGTCTGCATGATCGTTAATATATTGATGTTTTACAAACAATTATAATTTCGGCATATACTTACTGTGTCTTTTGAACATTAAGCAGATGAACGAGGCAACCGTTACAATGAAGATCAGCGAGCTCAGCGGGATGATAAAGACCATCAAGTTTACTGAAACACTGCAGCAGATATAAATAAATCAAAGAAAACACAATGCAAATGACAGTTTGCTAACAGTCCAAAAATGTAGTTTCAATAAAATGTATAGGCTTCTCACCTTTGCTGCTCAACCTCAACAGTGGAAAGTCTTTGTGCTGCAGTACTATAGGTGTGATTCACAGGTTTGGAGGTGGGTGTCAAGGTGGTTATTTGGCTTGTGGCTGAAACTGTAAATATACGGTCATTATTTTTTGAAAATAGAAATAGAAAATTCTCAATTTACCTGACAAATATCTATAATTTCAAAATGACTTTTAGTACTTACTAGTTGTAGGTTTCTCAGTAACAGTTATGTGCACTGGCATCTGTAAGTCTCCTTTAACGCACACATACCAGCCGCTGCTCTCTGTCCTCAGTCCGCTCATAGCCACAGTGAGAACACCAGTGCTGCGTGCACTGATGTCGACTCTTGTTCCATCTATTGATCCAGACTTTGTCACACAGGAGCCGCAGGGCCTGCACCACTTCCTTTCTCCAGAGTTTTGATAGTGACACTTGATGTTTATGTTATCTCCTTTAAATCCTGTAATCTCTTGCTGATCCAAATAGAGACTGGATGTACTTTGATGGAGAACATCATTCATTGAAACTATTTAGCAACGTGATTAGTACATGCTGCTGATGTTTCAAATATGTTAGGCACATCTGGTGAATACATTATTTGAGAAAATTAGGTAATTGTAATATTAAAGTGTTGATATGTCACAAAAGATTTGAAAAGGCGTAATTGGGCTCTTACCTGCAGTGACTGACAGGTGGAAATACTCTTTGAGATCTGGTCCATCTTTAATCTCCACAGCACACCAGTAATATTCAGTGTCCTTATCAGTCAGGTCATTTATAGTCACAGTGAAGACTCTTTGTCTTTTGTCATCAGAGATCAAAAGCTTTCCTGAACTGCTTGGTGTGTTTGTTTTAACCTCATATGAGCAAGAGGACCAAATATATCCTTTACACAAGTATTTCACATGGTTTGTGTACTTTGACTCATACAGACATGGGATAGTGATCGAACCTCCAGCTCTCACTGACACTTTACTGACTGTAGTTATGCTGTGAATTCCTGCAACAAGAGCAAATACAACATTAGTTGAGTAAAAATGTTATAGTCCTTTTTCAGATTGTTCAGATACTCCTTCTGTCATGGTTTTGGATTTATGTTTTCATTTTCCACCTTTTATTTTGAAATGTTTTCCTCCTTGTGTCTTGTCTGGTCCTTCTTCCTGTGTTTGCCTTCCTGTCGTTAGTTTCCCTGGTGTGTCTGATTGTCTGATTGTGTTCACCTGTTGCCCTTGTGTTTCTGCCTCCCCTGCCCAGCTGTGTCTTGTCCTGTGATTACCCTTCTGTGTATTTAGTCTTGTCTTCCCCTGCTGTGCTCCATGTCTGTTTGTCTTCTCTTAATGTCTATGATACCTGTCCGTCTCTTCATGTCCATGTCACCTGCCTGTTCCCGTCTGTAAGTTTGTTCTTGTCGTGTTCCCCGGTTTTGTTTTTGTTAAGTAGTTTCTTGTTTTTCCCTGTCTTCGGCTTTTTTTAATAAAGGTCGCTTTATGTTACCAAACCTTTTTTGCACTTGGATCCTATTTTTCCCCAAACCTGACAGTTTCAGATGACCATTGTAAAAGTGAATAATGTTGTTTTCCACATAAGGCCATAGTAGCTTAACTGGAGGGTATAACTTACTTAACTGACATGTTGGATAGAAGAAATACTGTATACAAATTTAAATAAAGTCTTGTGACCAACCTTTTAGTCCAGCGAAGAGGAGAAGAAAGCTCAGTTGAACAGTCATGTTGGCAAATGGGCAGGAAACCACTTGAACCCAAACACTGGCAGACTGATTCTTTAGTTCCTTTTTTTCCTATGTTTTGTTTGTGATATATGCAGTTTGTTTTGCTACCACAGAGCACACATCACTCTTAGCATCTGACATCCTACAGACATCAAACAGATGAATTGAACAGATTTGTTTGAATTCAGTTACAAATGTGTACGGTGAAATAATACAAGCTAGCATACTTATTTGTCTTTTTATATTGTCTATTACATAGTTTGTTATTTGCTTACTTTTCCCCACATGCCTAATATTGCTGTGTTTGGCGTCCTCTTCAGTCAGAGGAAGATTCAAACCAAACGTTTTTTAAATAAAAATGATTTGTAATCGACCAGGTCTGATGAGATTTAATGCATGGTCATCTTTATTAATAATATAGTACAAGCAAAACATTTTACGATACTTTATTTGTAAGGCCGGATCAGAGGAATTAGAATTAGAGTTCACTAGATAACAATGCCTCTAGTGCACTTTTACAATATCATTTACTGTAGACTTTGGGACAAGGTCCACATTTCTAAACAAAAGAATAGCACTTCAGGCATATGGACTGAACCTTGTTCATTTATTTAAAACATTAAACCACGACAACCATTTGAAGTATGTGTCAAACACGCACAGTGCATACAAAGTGGAGAGATAATAACACTACATGTGCCATCAGAAAGTTGATGTTTCGAACAGTTAAATATAGAAGAAGAAGACAAGGAGGATAGCAGAAACTGAAATATCAACTTGTGATTTATTGCATTTTAATGTTTATTTTAGTTGACTTATTTTTTACTTTAAACATTATAATTCATGTTCCATCAAACATCAAACAACAAAACACATAACACAAGATGTAAATGAACAAACATAATTAAACAAAACCTGTAAGATTTGTTCGGTTCCTCCTGAATGTTCAGGAGCTTGGTCATTTTCTCAGAGTGTAGAAAGCATTTGTCAATGCATAAAATCTCTTGAGCTTAAGGATATGAAGGGGGAGAAAAAAAGAAAGCGGTTTCTGCAAAGCCAAAGATCAGATGTCGGCACGTTGTATTTGGTGTCTACATACGCCGGGATCCGGAGTCATGGCTAAGGTCCTGGATCATAAGTCCTGGATGGATATCCTCGTGGATTCATCTTCTTATTATAGACACATGCATTTCCAAACTTTTGGACTACCTATGTTGGAAATGTATTATCTTTTCAATTTACACACGGCATCTATTGCACGTCTGTCCGTTCTGGGAGAGGGATCCCTCCTCTGTTGCTCTCCCTGAGGTTTCTCCCATTTTTCCCTTTAAACTGTGGGTTTTCTTCGGAAGTTTTTCCTTGTACGATGTGAGGGTCTAAGGACAGAGGGTGTCGTATTGTCATACTGATATTCTGTACAAACTGTGAAGTCCACTGAGACAACTGTAACATTTGTGATATTGGGCTATATAAATAAACATTGATTGATTGATTGATTGCAAGACTGTCATCTAAAAAAAAGCCTCCAGCGTTGGGTACAGATGTAGGGTAGGGGTAACATTCACAGGTTTTTCTGGTGCTAAGCCAACCTGCTTTATGTTACATCATCTTCTTCCGCTTGAATCTGTTGCATAAGTGAAGAAAAAATTACATTAGGGAGGAAAGATCAAAGATGAAAATTACTTTTGCCACACTTACAGCTCTAATAGGCTGGACACAATGCTTTGAGCTAAATGCTAACGTTACATTGTCCTGACAATGTCAACGAAGGCTGAAGTATTAATGTTTAGCAGGACTGTTTACCATGTTCATAATCTTAGTTTAGCCAGTATCAATGCCAACATTTGCTAACACAAATCCAAAAGGATAACCGAGGCTGATGGAAATTAGCTTTCAGAGTATTTGGTCATTATCAACAAATTACATTTCTGACCTGATTATGGCGCTATATGAAAATGCAAGGAATCACCAAATTTGTAAGGATACAGTCTTTTTGACACCAGGACCATCTGTACCAAATTGTTTAATGATCCATCCAACAGAACAGACAGAAATCGGCATCAATATATAGACACACTTCTATTTTGCCTTCAAAATGTGGAGAAAAAGCTTCACTATTACCATAGAATACAACATTTAAATTAAAATGTACCCTTTGTTTAGTTTAACGTTCTTCAGCGACTACAGAGGAGTACATCACGTCCACATCTCTATTAGCTTCTGACCACTGTGGAAGAGATAAGAGACGGACACGATCAGATCAATTAAAAAATGTAACTTGTTTTTGCTTCAAATGTTTATGATGAAATAATAAATGCTGCCTGAGAGAGTTTATCTTTCTACTTCTGTAATCCTGTAATCCCAGTTGTGTTTTTATTGGTTAAGGGTTACCTTTTCTGAAGATCTTCTCATGTGTTTAACATCGCTGTACATTACTTCCTCTTCAGCGAGACCAAGCTGGAGAATAAGAGTTTACCCAAAACCTTACTCGAAATAGTTTTTTATTCAAATTTGTAATGTTTTGTGCCAATCATTTTTACACAGTCAGGTGTCTTACCTGACCTGTCTTTCTCTTTTTCTTGACAGTACTGTATGTTACTTCTACATTAGACTGTGTTAAAAGAGCAAAAGACAGAATTTGAACGACAAATATGAACCAAAAGCCTGATGTTCAATTGTCCTTTTACAAAGAAAAGAATAGTATGAATAAGAATAAGAGTAATAGTAATTTTGACAATAAACATCATATGTAATAAGTAGTAATGTGCTGTCTACAGTGATTCATTGTAGCTTCAAAGGGGCAGTACAGTAAAGTCGTATTTTATCTGGAATTACTGCAGTGTGAAATTAATAAATGTCCTTTCTTGTAAATAAATGTATTTGGAAAATAATTATCATATCTTACAGTTATTATGGCTGGAGATTCTTCTTTGGTCTGTCCTAAAAGTGAAGCAATACAAAGTATTGTTAGTGACAATAATGCACAGTTATCTGCATTAATAGTAAATATTTGTATGATTAATGCACAATAATAAAAATGCTATTATTTGGATTGAGCATAATTCGGCATAGACTTACTGTGCTTTTTGAACATAAACCAAATAAACATGGCCACCATAACAATGACGATCAGCAAACTCAAAGGGATGATGAAGCTCTTTAAGTTCCTTGAAACATTGCGGCAGGAATAAAAAAATACAATGTAAATCAAATCAAATCAAAATCAAATCAAGTTTTATTTATAAAGCACATTTAAAAGCGATTTTTGGTCGAGCCAAAGTGCTGTACATGTAATAAAAACACATTACTACAATCACAATAAAAGACAATAAATTACAACAGATATATAAAAACACAGGGCAAAGTCAGGAGTCGTGCTCCGCTCTAACTAGAAGGCCAGAGAGAAGAAGTGTGTTTTTAGTGTAGATTTAAAAACCCCTAGGGTCTGGGCCGACCTATGGAGGGGCAGAGTGTTCCAGAGCCTAGGGCCAGCTGCTGCGAAGGCTCGGTGCCCTCGGGTTTTAAGCCTGGTCTTGGGCACTACCAGCAGCAGCTGGTCAGCAGACCTTAAAGCTCTGGCTGGGGTGTAGCGCTGGAGGAGTTCAGCTATATAGGCCGGAGCCAGCCCATTTAGTGCTTTAAAAACAAATAAAAGGATTTTAAAATAAATTCTGAACCGAACTGGAAGCCATAATTGGGGTGATGTGGTCACGCTTTTTGTGGCCATTCAGCAAACGTGCAGCTGCGTTTTGGACTAGCTGCAGGCGTTTAATAGAGGCCTGGTCCATACCCACATACAGAGCGTTGCAGTAATCCAGTCTCGAGGTAACAAAGGCGTTAATAACCCTTTCTAAGTCTTTAAAAGATAAATACGACTTGGTTTTGGCCAATAGTCTTATTTAAAAAAAGCAGGATTTGACTACGGTGCTGACCTGCTTGTCGAATTTAAAAGTGCTAGTGAAGGTCACTCCAAGGTTCATGACAGAGGGGAGGATGTTTTTATTGAGAGAGCCCAGAATATCAACCGGAGAGGCTGGAGGTTGGGGTCCAAAAAAGATGACCTCAGTCTTGCTCTCGTTGAGGTTGAGAAAGTTTTTGCTCAGCCAGGATTGTATCTCTGTTAAGCAGTCCATCAACTGCTGTAGTGAGTGTTTGACATTTGCTTTGAGAGGCAGATATATCTGTACATCGTCGGCGTAGCAGTGGAAGGGAATATTGTGTTTTGTGAGAATTTACCCTAGGGGCAGTATGTACAGTAAAAAGAGGATGGGGCCCAGAATAGAGCCTTGGGGAACCCCACAGGTAAGAGGGGCTTTGGCAGAGGAGAAGGCACCTAACTGTACCTTGAAGCTACGGTCTGTCAGGTAGGACCTGAACCATGCAAGGGCAGAGCCTGTGATGCCAGCGGACTGTTCAAGCCGTGACAACAGGATGCTATGGTCCACAGTGTCAAAGGCAGCTGTCAGGTCTAACAGCACCAGGACAGCTGGGCTACCTGAGTCGGCGGCTAGGAGCAGATCATTAAAAACTCTTAAAAGGGCTGTTTCAGTGCTGTGCATGGGTTTGAAGCCAGACTGAAACTTTTCATGGATTCCATGCGTGGTTAAGAAAGACTGCAGCTGGGCGTAGACTACTCGCTCCAGGGCTTTAGATAAAAAAGGTAGCTGGGAGATGGGCCTAACATTTGCGAGAATGGAGGGGTCGAGATTTTTCTTTTTAAGTAGTGGCTTGACCACGGCATGTTTGAAGGCAGCTGGGACACATCCTGAGCTAAGAGAGGTGTTTATAAGTAATACAATACTTGCACCAACTGATTCTAAAACATCTCTGCACTTGTCTGAGGTGCAGTTTGTCGGCCGCAGGTGCTTGACTACATCCGAGAGAGAAGAGAGGGATACAGGCTCAAAGTGGTCGAGGACTGCAGGGCACAGAAAAGGAGCAGGATCTGGGGTAGCACTAGTGTGGGATAGCCTAAGAGCAGATACTTTAGCAGAACTTATCACAGAGAGTAGTCAATGCCATAATAGAAGAAACATCACAGGGATTAATGATAGAGTTGAGGACATTAAAAAGAACCTGAGGTTTATGCAGAGTTCCCGTTAGCCGGTAATTACCGGACTATGACCGGTAAAATATGCTGAAGACCGGCAAATCTAAATCTCTCCGGTAAAAATGTCCGGTCAAAATAATTTCCCTTTAGCGCAATACCGCATCAGTTGCGCCACTTATGTGACAGACAAGAATAGTATGTGACAGACAAGAATAGTCAATTCTAATGTCTAACATTTAATGTGGAGAAAGAGTGTCCTGTATGGGTTGATTGTGCGTTGATCTGTTGGTAATGCCTCGGGGTTCCGGTGGGCATGTAAACAAATGCATAATGCTGCGCTATACTTTGCGGCCTCACCCGGTTGCATAGCGACGCTTATTGTTTAGGTGTCTTTTAATAAGCAGGTAGTCATATCATTAGCTAGATCTGATCGATATGGACATAAACGCGAGTGAAGTCTAATCTGACGGGAGTGTTGATAATTTGTGATCTTCTCGCTCCCAGGAAAGAAACTTAAAATAACGAGACTAATGGAGTCCCTGAAAAGGTTCAAATGGGTAGTTTAATTAAGTAACGTGGTTAAAGAACAAGCATGGTGAATGGAGAGACAAAGCCGGTGTTGTCTTGAGGGAGGCTGCAGCGAAGGGAAGAGACCGCGTTATCTTTCGTCCTGCCTTTTTATCCACGTCTCGTTGTCCCCCGCTGTGCAAATAGTGGGTGGCCCCCTACTCATTTGCCGGTTCAATATCGCGAGAGCACAGATGATTTCGACATTGATATTCTCTGCCTACTTCCTTAAGCATTTTCTCCTCATTATCTCTGTCATGACTTTCTATTTAATACCTTATAAACAGCTGTAATACTTAGTTTAGAAGTCCTAGTGGTTCCGCTCCGGCACAGTTCTTATTTTACGGAAATTCCCTCTGACGTCATAGCTTCTCACGTATCTGTAAACACTACGATCGACTAGACCTTCATTTAATATTCAGCAGTAATAATATCTTAACGTCTATCGATGTAGTGTTAAAGTCCGTACGTTTGTGTGTAACACTCCAAGTCATTTTCACTTTACATTCAGAAAACGCAACATTTAGTCACAAGCTAACCGGATAAAGGATTTTTCAGAATAAAAGCTTGGCATTGATTTCCTGAGAACTTCCGGGCTTTTCCACAATAAAACAGCTTTAAACTGACGATATGTTTTAGACTGAATTATGCTGTTTAACATTGATTTTAATTTCTAACAATCCCTCCTTTCACACCATTTAAGGTGTGAACACAATACTAAAAGTAATAAGTTCTTCATCTGACTGCTTTTAAACTGACGGTATGTTTTAGACTAAATCATGCCATAAAACATTGAATTTTAATTTCTAACAATCCCTCCTTTCACACCTTTTAAGGTGTGAACACAATACTGAAATCAATGAGTTCTTCATCTGAACTTTGCATAGTACATAACTCATATCAAAAACATACTATCAAAATGGAATGGTTCAAATAACCGTCATCAAAAATACAAACAATACATTGGTTGGTCTTCTGGTGTAAAAGTTTTCCCTTGTGCATAACTTTTAGTTTTAACATTCAATATCACTTTTTAAAATAGCAGCAACTTGTGGTATTAGAACATTTCTTACTCCCTCCTTTCACAGAAACCGTTCCCATACCACATTCAGTGTTAAGGCACTTGTTTTACAAAGTATAAAAACATACTATTTAAAAATCACATCACTAATAACAGTATAAAACATAAAAGTTAGAAACCTTTTTTGAATAGTGCAAAGTAATACCACTTTGTAGCTGGTTCTTCATTCTAATGATTTCATCATTTGAAATATATTTCATCATTTGAAATATCACATGATTTGGACATTCTTTGAACAATCTCATCATTTATCATCCATATCATTTAACATAATTTACACACTGTCTTCATTTTCATCAATATCTGTATATGGGTTGAGTCGTCTTGTTCTGCTAGCAATTGAAACTGTTCCCTTATGAGAAATTTACCCTCCCCCCTTTCATACTTTTTAAAGTATGAAAGTAATATGTTCTCTAGAAAAGGCCGTGGTGATCAATCGGTACGTTAGGGTGCGGGTACATGGAATGCAACTCCAACATCTAGCACTCCCCTGGGCACCCCTATGCTATCCTTGTACACTGTCGAGCCTAAACTCCCTCCTTTGACTGGTCTCTTAGCCCTACTGGTTTTGGGGCGTTTCGCCATGTTAATTAACTGCCCCACTGTCATTGGTACTGCATATAAAACATCACTGGCTGTACAAGTGCACAGGTCCCAGTCTAATCCTGTAGCAAGACTGCATACAAGGGTTTAGTTCCATGATACCATCAAACATCTACTCTGGGATACGGCATTTCAGACAGTCATTTCTGGGAGAAGATTTTGGTCAGTTACAACAATTGGAGAATTTCATCACTTATGGTTCCTACTTCAGTACCTTTTGGTGGTCCGTTCTAATGCAGTGATAAAGTTCCTTAAATGGTGTGAAAACCGGTGGAATATCAATAACTCATTTCACTAATTTATCTTCAAT